TAGCTCAACAGATACTCAAACATTTCAAAACTTCAAGGGCATCTGAAAGTCTTGTTCTCGGGCAGGAACTCTGAGCGAGGTAGAAGTGGAGGCCAGAGGAATTTATTTTAGGGGACCTCTGTATACATTCAGTTCGCAGTTGCCAGGGGAGGGCCAAGCCAGAGCAGGGGGCAGGTAAGAGAAAAGGGGGGCGAGGTTGCAGCTCCAGCTGGTGGGACGGTGGCCTGGGGGAGCTGCCAGCAGTGGCAGGGGTGGCGCGGTGACAGCCACGTGACCAGCCAGTAACGGTGCTGACAGAACAATGGTTACATGGGCCACCGTAATTCCGGGGCCTACTCCACGCCAGAAACCAGCTCAGGGCCCTGCACACCTGAACTTGTCTTCTCTCACAAAAGCCCCCATGAGATCAGTGCTCAGGTGGGCAGCAGGACCGCACTTGCCTGGGAGGCTCTCTGATCCCGCACCTAACACCTGCGTTCTACAGGTTTCGCACAAACTGGGAAGACTAGTTAACCAGCACCAGAAGTAATGAGAGAATCAAATGGCTGAAAAGCAAGGGAGGTCAAAGTTCATCTGGTGCGCTGACATCTACTTGACGCTCATGCCTTCGGATTCCTTCTGAGCCTTGTTCTGCAGGGTCACTTCACAGCTAATAGAAAGGAATTTTCAATTTACTAGCTAAGTCATTCTTAACATGCCCAGTGGCCACCCTTGCTGTGATCAGTGAGGTCTGACTCTGCCTATGTTAGGTCCAGTCCCCACCACCTCTCCCCCCAGGCAGCTACCATGAAAGAAGGTGTAAGGCCTCTGGAAGAAAATAAAAAACTAAGTGGGGTTTCCCTGTAATCCACATCCCTTTCCTATGACCTAAAGGTCATATTCAGTAAGGAATCCATAAAACTTAACAGAACCAAAGCAGAACAAAAATGACTACTCATTTCTATTAAGAAAATTATGTAACCTTTGTTTTAATGGACTGAATGAAGGTAAGGGTGAAGACGTTCTGAAATTCTCATAAAGGTTTGTGAATTTAAATGCACTGAACACTGGGCGTATGCTTGGCTGCGTCTTGCCAATGTAAACCCAAAGCCCCCGGTAGTCTTTGCAGCAATTTGAGACGGATGGTAAGGACAGAACTGAGCCCTGGGTTTTACCAAAATTCCCCTCCCCTTAGGAACCTACTCCTACCGCTTCTGTATTTCTGCATCGCTGAAGGAAGAGAGACGAGGGAGGCCATTCTTCTCATGGTCATGAACCACATTTTCAGGGATCTCTTCAATGGAAGGAAAAGCCCCTGGGAAGGAAACAAGGGAGGACAGGTTGGCTGCCTCAATGCTACCCTTAAAGGAAGATGCCTGGTCTCTTAACTTGGGCCCTAAGTTCCCCACAAGCCCATCCCTTAAATCCCAGTTTAGGTCTTTGAATTCCAACTGCTTCTGCCAGCAGGATGAGAGAGTGAAGAAAAGCTTCTGGTAATCCATAAGCCAACTAGAGGAAACTGACGAGCGGGGAACAAGGGGGAGAAACACTGCCAATACCTACCCTGGCAACACACTTAAATTGGTGAAATCTGACATTTCAAAAAAGATCCCTGCATGCAGAAAGGATTCCTAAAACGAGCAATACTCATCCTACTCTGAACCTGGGGGAAAATGCTAGAGGAGCAGGACCGTGAAACGTACTGCTGGCTGATGCCCCACTGGGGGCCCATCACCCCCAGTGGGCTTGGCTCTCCCAGCTCCACATCCCTAAGCCTAAGGTGGTTCCTAGGCAACCTCACCACATCGCAGACTGGCAAGTGGCAAAGCCGACTGGTGCCGGGAAACCCTGGCAAATGCTGTGGGAACAGTGTGATATAGCTGAGGCAGGGGACAGGAGGACCAAGGTGTCTAGGAAGGCAGGGCAGGATCAATGCCACAGCACCCAAGTCGGGGCTGCTGAATAGAACCTTGGGTGCACCCCATTCAGGCTGGTGGACTGGGCAGGTTTTTCATTCTCTTCTCAAGACAAATAGACACAAAGCATCATTACCCATGGAGGTTCTAGCCAAGACTCCGTAAACCTTCCCATCCATCATGGTGTTAATCCTGTCACGTTAGAGTCCGGCAGGGAAGGATCTCTGCTGGGCCATCTACTCAGTGGCCACTGGCTTGACTGTTTGATTTATCCCTTTCCCAAATGTAAGCACCAGTCCAGAACTCTTGTGCTAAGTGCTGCGGATGGCCAGGAAATAAGCAAGATGAACATCTGCTCTCGAGGGGATATTGAAAGAACCAGCTCTGAAGATGTGTACCTGGACCTACTCAAGCACCTGTCCCCGTGCAGGTGTTTCTAGGGATGACTGAAGACAGCCACAAGGACCATCCTCTAGTCTATAGGCTGGCAAACCTGCCCCCATTTTTATCCTGCGCTTGTAAATTGGTGTTTACTTCTTTAAAGTCTGATGCTTTGTACTGTACAGACTTTTGCTATGTACAGATTCATAAGACTTTTGTGTATTTGTTTTAGATTTGATTTGTGACCTCATTCTTTGATGTCAAAAATCCAACATACTGTCAGATTACTCAAGAAGCACATTAATTATACACCGTAAGATGAGGCAAGTGTCTCCTTTTTTTTTCCTCCAAACAACCACGAAAAGGCCAAATGAAGCAACCGTGAAAAGGCCCACTGACCACCAACTCTGAGAACAGCAGTAGGAGTGGTGGGCTGGAGGACAGAGACCGCAGGGCCACCTCCCAGAGCTCTGAGGGCTGATTCCTGGTCCTGGAGTCACACTGCTGTTGACTGGAATTATGTTCCTTTTGAAGCTGAAGTTAACAGACAGAGCCCATAATTATCTTGGACCAATTCAGGGTAATTGGAGTTTAAACAAACAAACATGGGATCTGAAAAGAGCAGTGAGTAATCAAAACCTGTAGAGTATGAGGTCACTTTTCAATGATCTAATTTGTTCCCAAATAAACATCCGATTTCCTGAACCAAGTCAATTCAATCCTCTGAATATGGAAGCTCAGTGTAAAACAGGGATGCCTTCTTTCTAGCCAAGTGGCACAGAATACTTCATCTGTGGGTGAAGGGGCCCCCAGGCCCATCTGGCAGGGTTCCCCTCCCTGGCATGGGTGCAGGTGCTTCCCCTATAAAGGAGCAGCCAGGAGGCTAGTGAGTGTGGAACCTCAACTTACCAGGACAGAGCTAACAACCAGGGAGACACAAGGCAATGCATCTGAAGAAAAGGAAAGGGATCAGCCCGGGGGTGGGGGGGGCGAGGGGGGGGGCAGGCTGCCTGAGACAGGGGTTCTGCTCTGGAAAGTGAGGAGAGGAGATTCTGACCACAGGGAGGGCCCTCTGGAAGCCTCAGCATCTAACACTTTTAAGCCACCAGACTTTAAAGTCTACCACCAACAGGGGAAACACAACAGAGAACAGTCTACAAGGTTACCAGCCCTTCCAGCACAACTGTCCCTGCCTCTGGCTCCTCTCTGCTGCCCCTCTCCACCTCCCCTGCCCAGGCCACACCCGTCCCCCCAACCCCCAAGGCAAACCCTGCTGTCCACCGACCACAGACATCCACCAGGCGCTGCACGCACCATTTAACACGATCAGCACTTTCTTCCACTGGGTGTTGCCCACTTTAGGAGTCTGGCAGAAAAGAATCTTGTGCTTGTCACAGACAAATATCCGGTCCAGGACAAACTTGGAGACCGCAGTGTGCGAGAGATTCTTCAGGGCTTCATCCCTGCAGACGTTTCTGATGAGTTCCAGGCGCTCCATATAGACCAGGGGTTGAATAAGCCGGCTATCTGAAAGCACCTTCCCAGTAGGCTGCAAGTAACAAGGAGGCAGAAGGGGCACAAGGGCTTTGTCAAGAAAAAACAGGAGTGAGCCCCAAAGGAGCCACCCGGGGAGGCCCTGCCCCCTGACCCGGTGCTGCGTGCTGACACGCAGAGGGCGAGAACCAGAGCTGCCTCACAGGAAGGGCAGGACTCTGAGGGCACCATGCACCTTCAGGGGCCTGGGATTCATGCTACATGGATGGGCTGGACCAAAGCTCAGCCAGAGACATGAGGATGTTTCTTCATCCTCAGCCGCTCAGACCAAGGTGACTGCCACTTTGCTGACAGCGGGCATTAGGGCCCAGAGCATCCTGGACACAGCAGAATGCTTTGTGTTCTGGGATTTTAGTGAAGGCCAGTTTCGGCCCCCTTCCTTCTCCCTAGCATTACCCTCTACATAATTCTGAGTGTACATATGTGGACGATACCTGAGGAACAGTCATCTAAACACGTGCTGTTCCAAAGATACTCTGGTATACGGGTAGAATGGTTTATTAACAAGAAAAACATACCTTAGGTCATTCAGTATGGGTTTTAAAAATGTCAAAGCCATTACTCCATCTCCTCAGTGACAAGCACGTGGTCACACTTCTCTGTCATGCGGTTTAAGGAGAGGGGAACGGGCGCTGCGTGGTAGTGGTGTCCGTCATGCTGGAAGCGTGGCCACTGTGGGAAAGCGCTGGAGCACGTCGGCGCTGGTTTCTGCCTGAGTCCTCCCACCAGGCGGGAAAGTCCATGTGAGCGCTGGGCAAAGGCTCTGATCCAGAAACCCCTGCCTGCCAGGAGAGTGGGCTCCCTGGAAGCGAGCAGACGAGGACCACGGAGGGCACGGCCTCCAGCTGGTTTCTGAGGTTGGGGTGCAGGCTGCACAAGGACACCGCTGCGGCTGCTTTTACCCTGTGACGTCGCAGTTCTGAAGTGTTTGTTTCGATCACCTCCGAGTTATCTGGAACTGGTCTCTCAGTCGTTTTCCCCCTCAAAAACAGTGTAATTTCCAATGTGTGTGTAGCTACGACGGTTCCTGTAGCCTTCACCTACGGACTACGACTCGAGTGCGAGTACGAGTCGTCGCTCTCCCTACGATGGCTCCAGCTGGCACGGGACACTGCGGAAAAGTCCACAGCCCTCCCACCCCCGCCCCAACTGCCATTCTTTGTAGGCAACTCATTTTTAATACCTGGGTGCTGGTCATTTTTCTCAGTCATGTTCCAGCACACTACAAATTTTGCCAGGGTAAGTTAGTGTGGGTTTTTCTGCTGATTTGCCTGGAAGGCAGGGAGCCCTTTCTACCTGCATCCTCGGCTCAGAAAATGTCCTTTTTCTTCAGGACACAGGCAGGGGTGGAGCTCATGTGCCACAGTGGGTGGAAGTCATTTGAGGTTAGGAGGTGGGCAGGGGTTTCTGGGTCAGAGCGCCCCGCGGCTCACATGGATTTTGCCACCTGGTGGGAGGACTCCCTAGAACAGAAACCAGCACCGATGTGCCCCAGCATTTGCTCACAGTGGCTACACTTACGTTCGACAGACACCACTATGAGGTAGAACCCGTCCCCTCTGCTTACAAATAGTTTAAGAGGCATAATTATGCGCTTACTCAGGAAATGGGAGTCTTATACCATCTATTTGTTATACCTCAGTGAATGTCTTTAAAAAAAAAGGAAACATACAAAAGTTCTGACAGTGGTTGAAGAGAGTTATGGATTGCGATGGGCTGTAGTTGTTTTTTTCCTTTTAATGCTGGATATTTCTTTAAAATACACGAGTATATCTTCCTTCTTCATAAAAAACTTGATTTAAAAATATCGGCTGGTTGGGGGGGGAGCACCTAGAAAGACTTCCAGAAAGTTCTAGAAAACTGTACCAAGTCCTCTGTGGATGATTTCTACCAAATCTGGGTACTTTCTATATGCAAAGGTGGCTCTGCAAACACAGCACATTTTTGTCTCTCTTCCTTCACAACTCTGCCAAAACCCTCTGAATTTCCTTCCAGGGCGCACCTGTCCCTTTCTTACCAGCCATGGGCCCCTTCTCATCTTTCCTTCCCCCCCTTTTCTACAGAGTGACAGCCACTATTTCCAGCCACTTCCTGAAGCGGCCTCAGGGCCTTTCCACTGCCCAATAAATCAGAAATGAGTCAGTATGGTTGGCAAGGAAAGTAGACACAAAATGGGTTCATTTGACTTTCCTTCTTACGAGAAAGTCGACTTAAAAAAACAAAAAAAGATGAAAAAGCTCAAGTTCCAAATCATGACACATAGTCTTTGGGACTGCTTTATAACCTAAAACAATGAAAAGAGCTTTTGTTAACACTCTATTCAAAATTCTACTGTCACTTGGCAGAATGAACTGTTTGACAAATATTTACCAAGTCTTTACTCTGTGCTTGGATACAGTTGCAAGTGTTCTGTGGAGACACCGAGAAAGCCTCAGCTGAGGAAGAATGTGTGTGGCACTGTCCATGTACGTGTGTGTATGTCTGTGTACACGCAGAGGTGGGGGGGGGTAGGAGGTGAGGGAGACAGAGCAGGCAGCAGGAGTCCTCAGTGACTTACTAACCCCTCCCTACTCACATCACGGTGGAAGGTCTGCCCACAGAGATCTCCCGGCTTTCCAAGAAGCAACCCAAAAGGCAGCTCTGAATAAAGAGTCTGTTCCTCCAACCCTACTCCTTTGGCCAACTCTAGTTGTGGCCCTTTTCCTCAGCATTTTGAAATGTTTCTGCTGCTGTTTATTGTCTATTCATTCCCTTTAAGTTACACAGAACTTCTTCCCAAGAGTTCAAACCAGACAGTCCCCTAACTTAACTTTACAGAATGGACCAAAATGCCCTTTTATCTGTTAAAATGCACCAGAGTTTCCAGGTAATCCATTTATGGGGCAATTGTAAAACCAGTCCTCCCACAGGGAATGGGTCAGTTACAAGATGGGGAAAAGGATATGGCCTTCCAGAACACACGAGAACACAAACACTGGAAATATTGGGACGACAGAGGTTTCCACACCACCACTCAGCTCCCTGCTCTTCCCTCATGGATCTGCCATAACCAAACTCCCTGACACAACTTCTCACGTGTTTGACTGAATTTCCTGGGTTTCCCTGGTGAAGGGAAGTGTCTCGGGAATTCCTAAGGGCTACTTCCTGAGGTCAACATATTCTGGAAGTGAGAGTGGGCACCTGCAGACTTACTCAGCTCTGATCATTCCTCCCCAGGAAGCATGAGCACAAGCCTGCCACACTGGCCCTTAAGCTTTTCTGCTTTCATAAATCGAGTCTAATTTAACCTCATTCCTTCCCTGACCCCAACTCTTGCTCACTTATCGACATGGTCTCTCTCTCTCCTCTCCTCACTCTACTCCAATTGCTTCAAACCTCAGATCTAACCTGGATTGCGGATGATACTCAAGAGGTGTGAATCACAGGGCAGTATCTACTTCCAAACAAGTTCTCTTGAGAGACTGCAGAAAAATCTCCCTCATTCTCAAACCTCTTTTTCTTCAAGCTTAAGCGCTGTATATAAAGAAAAACCATTTCTCATCTAATTGTGCATATGGACTGGCATGGCTTTGTTTTCTTCCTTTGCAAATATACTAAACCAATTTTAATGACTGATACTGTTTTCCATTATTTTCCATTCAAATATTCAGCTATATTATGTACAAAATAAACTTTCTTTTGCAGTTTTTAAAAATTGAAGTATAAGCAAAACATATTAGTTTCAGGTATACAAACATATTGATTCAAGAGCTGCACAAAATAAACTTTAAAAGGTAAGCTACACAACCTGATCACATTTATAAGTCACCTTTCTTTTGGGAAGACAGATGCTGAGTTTAAACATCTAATGACTCCTGGTTTCAGAGAATCATGTCTGACCACTGTTTCCCACTCCCTTTATCTTGCATCTGAGTTTCATGAGCATCACGGAGGCAGGGTAGCAAGAACAGGGGACAGAGGACATGTAATTGAAAGTCCCAGCCCACTACTTGCTGTCCCTGACATACTGGCTCTGTTCCTTGAGCCTCACACTTTCCAAATGCAAAATGAGAGTAAAAATACTTACAGCTCAGAGGGCTGTTTTTGAGGACCAGTAAGATTAAAACCCAGCAAAGTCTTCTGTAGACCGCAAGGCATGTTCTGGTGCAGTATTTCCAACCATGATTACTCCCGCAGGCCCATGGTGTTGGCGGGAAGAGTGCTCCTCCGTCCCTCAAGAGTGCCCCCTGGGATGGTCACTTTTGTTCCTCCCGAGTCTTGGCATTCTAGCAGCACCCTGGTCTCAGAGCAGTGCATTCCTCTTACAAAACTCTCCCCCCACCTCCATGGTATTCCTGATCCCAGTAACATTTATTTCCTTACCTCCTTCTAGTAAGGCCACCCTCCTACTTCCTACAGGTTTTTCTGGTTTCCTGTCTCTGGGGTCCATCCACTCTCTTTCCTTGCCCCGGAAAGCCTCAACCTAAAAGCAACATTCCAGGCCTGCTTCAGGGAGTTCTGCAGACTTGACCCATCAATCAGTGTCTTGCAACCTGTAAACTCCAAGAGCACTTCACTCTGACCAGGTGCACACTTTCTAGACTTTGTTGGATTCTAATCTGTTGTCCTTACCCTGCAAATCAAGGACAGGAACTGTCTCTTTCTCTATGGCTTAATGCTGGGCTGATAAATGTCTTACAGCTTGGTCTATCCATTTCATTCCTGTAGGCATACCTGCAACCCAAACTTTCCAGACCCAGAATGGGGGTGAGCAAGTGAGAGGGGGAATCTCAAGAGTGTGCCCCCATCACGGCTGGGGAGCGATTAGGAATTTTTGTGTAAAAGGAACCTGAGGAGAAAAAGTCAGAATATCAAGGAAGGTGAGCACCAGGTAAAAGTCGGCAGCCTTGGGCCCTGCCACTAACTCCCACACGATTTGGGATGATTAGCCTTTTCCCTAAACTCTGTTCTCTCATCCATGCCATCCAGAGGTGAGATTAGCTGCTCTTCTGTCCAAGAACCCTTCTAACTTTAAAAGTCCATGATTCTGGGTCACAGACCTTTCCCCACCCCCTTAGTTTTCTCCTGACCTAGCCCAACATCCTTCATTCCCCTGGCAAGGCTCCTTCTCCGCAGGTCAGGAATCCAACACAATCAACATTTACAGAGGATCCATGATGTACAAAGCGCTGTGAGGAACATAAAAATCGATGTGACCATGTCACCTCCAAAGAGAAGCTAAAAATATGAGTGGAAATGTGCCGAAGTGACACAAGCCACAACTCACAGCAGCAGAATGGGATGGTCAGAGGACACCAGCTGATATGAGCACAGACAGAAGGGAGGCTAGCTCCATGGGATGGGGGTACCCACTGGGGCCAGAGGGGGTGGGGAGGGGCCGCCACAGCTCAATTGGGAAGCAGCAGCTCTGCTCCCTGCCCCGCCCCCACGCCCCGCAGCTGACCGCGTCACAGGGGACAGTGCCCTCTGCCTTGCCGGGCCCACCTTCAGTTCCTCAGGAAAGTGCTTCTCTCCGGGCAACTTCCCCGCATCTGGCACGGCTGTCAGGAACAGGAACTCCTGTTTGGCGCTGTATGCTAGGAGACAGAGAGGTTAAAGCGTCTCCTCATGGAGGAACAGACACACAGATCAGCGGGACAGAAGAGAGGCCCCAGAAATAAGCCCACACAAATATGCCAGACAGACATTTGACAAAGGTGCCAAATCAGTTCAGTGGAGGACAGTCTTTTCAACAAATGGTGCTCTAACAACTAGACATCTATAGAGAAAAAGAAAAAAGGAACCTTTACCTGACCTCACATTTTATTCAAGAACAAACTCAAAATGGATCAGCACTTCAATGTAATAAAACTTTAAAAAACATAGGAGAAAACCTTTGGAAAAGATTTCCTTGTTTTCCTGACTAATCAAAATTTAAAACTTTTTACTCTGCAAAAGACCCTATGAAGAGGATGGAAAGACAAGCTACATGCTGGGGGAAAATATTTGCAAATCAAATATCTGACAAAGGACTAGTACCTAGAATATGTAAAGAATTCTCAAAACTTTACAGGAAAAAGAAAAAAAAAACAATCCATTTAGAAAATGGGTAAGACATGAACTTACATTTCACCAAAGAGGATCTACAGATGGCAAATAAACACATGAAAAGATATTCAATGTCATTAGTCATCAGGCAAATACAAACGAAAACCACAATGAGATACCACTACACACAAAATAGCTAAAATAAAATATAGTGAAAATTCCAAATGCTAATGAGGATGCAGAGAAACTGAAGAACTTACACGGCTGGTGCGAATGCAAAATGGAATGGCCACTCTAGAAAATGGTTTAGTAGTGTCTTCAAAAACTAAGCATTTAACTACCATATGACGTAGTAATTGCATTCCTGGGCATTTATCCAAGGAAAATCAAAATTTATATCCACACAAAAACCTATACACAAATGTTTATAGCAACTTCATTTGTAATAGCCCTAAACTGGAAAAAAACCCCAGATGTCCTTCAACAGGTGAATGGATAAACAACACTGGGACATCCATATGATGGAATACTACTCAGCAATAAAAAGGAACAAAGTATTGATACACACAGTAACAGCTAGATGAATCTCGAGGAAATTATGTTGAATAAACAAAGCCAAGGCCAAAAGGTCATATACTGTATATAATATTCTTAAAAAAAATTATGGAGAGAACAGCTTAGTGGTTTCCAAGGGGGGTAGGTAGGGGCCAGGGAAGGGAGACAGGGAGGGGAGGTAGGTGTGGCTATGGGGCACCTGGGTGGCTTAGTCGGTTGGGTGTCTGCCTTCGGCTTGGGTCATGGTCCCAGAGTCCTGGGATCAGGCCCTGTATTGGCTCCCTGCTCAGCAGGAGTCTGCTCCTGCCTCTCCCTCTGCCTCCCTCCTCATGCTCTCTCTCAAATAAACAAATAAATATTAAAAAAAAAAAAAAAGGCAACCCAGGGCTCCTTGTGGTGATGGAGATGTTCTGCATCTTAACTTTATCAATGTCAATATTGTGATTCCAACTCTGCATTATAGTTCTGGAACATGTTACTATTGGGGTAAACTGAGTAAAGGGTACATAGAAATCTGCATTCTCACAACTGCATATGATTCTACAGTGATCTCAAAATTAAAGGTGTAATTTTAAAAAACCAAGTTAGGGGCACCTGGGTGCCTTATTCAGTTAAGTGTCTGACTCTTGGTTTTGGCTCAGGTCATGATCTCAGAGTTGTGAGATGCGCTCATCGCAGAGTCTGCCTGAGATTCTCTTCCTCTGCCCCTCCCCCACTCCTCCCTCTCTCTCTCTCTCCCGCTCTCTTGCTCAAATAAATAAAATCTAAAACAACAACAAAAAACCCAAGTTAGCAGTCAAGTTAGTATTTACACATTAGCTTAAAAATTCATGGGAAGTGAGATGAGACCAGACCAATCTTACAAAATGCTAGTCCAGAGTAATAATTTACAAAAAACTGCTTTGGGAGAAACCCTTGGGTAGAATTTGAAGATAATTTTCAGATCTCTAAGATCAAAGAAACATTTACTTTCAAAATTCTGCAAAGTCTAAAAACATAATTAGAAAAAGTAGATAGCAAAAAAAGCATAAAAATCAGCATAACGAAGCATAAACAAAGGCACATTTATTTCATTTAAAAAACAATCAAAACCTCCTCTTGGATCAAGAATAGCAACAGCACACACAAGGGACTGCAGCCTTCCACCTACACAGGTTTGCTACACGCTGCCTGCCCCCCCCCCCCACCCCGCCGCCCGGGCCCAGCCGGCATGCTGTTAGTGCGCACCATGGCCTGGTGTCCTCCAAGTACAGACGACACTAATAATCCCATCTCCCCATCTGTTATACACTTTTGAGTTATCGGACTCCAATATAAACCTCTTTGCCACACACCTTTAGTAATGCCACTGAAATCTTTGGTCCAGTCTATGTGTGATTTAAAACGCCATCCTAACCAAAGCTGTGCGCAAGAGCTGTTCTGTACTTGCAACAAGGTCAGAGAGCCCTGTCTACAGTATGAAACAAAGCATCAGCGCCCTTGGCCCCAGAGCTCTTGAATACACTCTGAGGACTCCAAGAGACCACCCCCTGCCCATCCTCCTCCTCTGTAACTGTCACCTTTGAGCACTCACATGCTAACAAGAAAATGCACATTCTATGCTTGTCTGGTCACTTCGTGTTCTGACGGTGTCTTCTAAGATGAGCACTGCAATGCTTAGCTCTGCCCCAGGCTGAATGGGTTTTGCAGAATTCTAAGCTTCCTTAATAACATTTTAGATGGGACAATGTATCCTGAATTCTAAACAGCTGCCTTACCAATGAATTTCTGAAGCAACCTGTTTCCCATATTCAGAAGCACAGAGGACAGGCTTTGGCAGCCATGAAACATCTCATCTTCCAACACGACACACATCAGACAGTCATCCACCAATTTTTATCATTTTTATGATTTTAAACTTCTTGGTATTTGCTTCCCCCCCTCCCCTGGGCCCTAATTCAAGTAGCTTCAAGTAAAACTGGTAACACAGTTTACGTTTGGTTTTCTTTTTTTTCTGTTGCTCTGCTGACAACCATTTATTTTCAGC